GCGCCTTATGGTCTTGAAAATACGGTATTCTAATAACTTCAATTGTACCTTTTAAAGAGAAATTAGCTAAGACAATGACTGTTTGCCAATGTCCAAGATGGAAAAATCACATGTTCTGATTGTTGTATTTCTGTAGAATAATTCTAGCTGCTCACACGAGCATATTCTTTTAAAGGTCTTAAGTTATTAACATTTGTATATTCATAAACCATTATTTTCTTTAACTTCATCACATTATTTTCTTTAACTTTATTCATCTTTGGGTTCCTTAGGTAGTTTGTTTTATTGTTTTCCTATACTAAAACATAAAGTTTGTTGCACAGAATAGGTGTATATGTTTGGATTTTGCTCCATTCTCTTTCTCTCAGGTTTTTTTCATGAACATCCTGTCTGAGCTGCCGATTTTCTCTCACCAGGTCTGTGACCGTCTCTCTCAGCTCTCGGACTTTCTCCTCCAGATCCAGGTTTCTCTCTGTCAGAGTCTCCACCATCTCCTCCGCCCCCAAAGCTGCATCCACCTGACAGAGAATGCATATTTGCTCCCATGTAGCCGACCAATCACAGAGCATGGTGAGCACATCTGATGATTTCTCTAACCTGTTCCTTCAGCTCATCAATAGTCTTCTCTGCTGCTGTCATCTCTTCCTGCAGTTTTTCCTTCTGCCCCCTCAGAGAATCAAGCTCCATGTTTTTTTTCTCCATCTGCTTCTGCAGCTTTACATGTTCCTGCTTCTCTGATGCAGACAGGTCTCGCATCCTGGCAGGGAGTAAAGATTGTTTTTTTTTTTTACAATTTAAATTCAGAAGGTGTTTTTTTTCCAGTAAAGGGGCACTTACCGGACCAAAGCTTCCTTTAGCCGGCCGTTCTGCTCTTCCAGCTGTTTCACATGATAACTGGAGGCAGCGCCGTCTGAACCTGAGACATACCCAAAACAAATTGGAGTGACTTAAATGGTACATGTGTTTGTATTCAGCCCCCAGTTTCTTTGGTTCACAAAAACCAGTGGTAATAAACCTTTAAATAGTGATGTTGCCTGATATCTGCTTCTTTTACATCACAAGAATTTCTTTTAAGGTGTTTAATCAGGCCTCTTGTGTAAATACGTCCATATGTTCTGTACCTTTTTCTTCAATCTCATGCTTGAGGATCTCCAGGTCCATGGTGAGCTCCTCCACTCTCTCCTTCAGGGAGTCGACCTCCAGCTGCAAGGACTCGGCTCGCTCCTCTGCCATCTCCTTATCCAGAGTCGCCATCTCGATGGCGTCGGCCGTGTCCGACATCTCCTCCATGTACCGCTCCTTTGCCTCCATGGCTTCTTTAGCCTCCTGCAAATGTAGAATAATGAAAAGTGTGAGAACATAACATACATAGATTTTTTGTTTTACAGCCAGCATCTGTTGTCCTTTATTAAGAGCTGAACATTGCAAACCTAATATTCAATCACCAACGTATCTCCTAGCTTACTGACACTTAAGACCAGGGGTCTGCAGCGCCATATAGCCTGAGTCCATCTAATGAAAAAATGATTAGAGCCAAAAATATTATGTGACCTTCAGCTAAAACACAACTTTTCGTTAAATATCTTGTATAGAAAAGCTGTTAGTTTTAAACAACCAGCAGATCTTTAGGTTTTAGTGAAAACATAAAATGCTTAACAAAGAGGAAGCATGGATATTCCTCATTAGGATGCGATTTTAAAAATTTCATTTTATTCCATTATTCTTGTAAGCATTTAAAACCTTTCTAAATGCTAATGATAAAAAACATCTTGTAAAATGAAAGTGGCAAAACATACAATCCAGAAATAAACTTTAAAAATGTATTACTCAAAAAAGGCTTTGATAGTAAACTCAGTTTATTTTTTAAATGTATTCACAAGATTTTATTTTTTTAAACTGTACGTTTAGTTTTTTTCATAATTCTTTTTTTACAGATTTTGTTTTCAAATTTTTTTAAATTAAATTTTTTTTAGAATGATTTTTACGATTTGTGTTAATTTCAAATTGCGTTTTACAAATCACATTCTCTTCACCTTGTCCTTTCCTGTGGATTTCATTGGATTTAATTTCACATTACTATTCAACAGGTGTCCAAAGAGCCACAGGTTGCAGACTCCAGCCTTAGACTAAGATTAGCCTCAAACATTCACTTCCCACTTCCTACCCTTTTTGCCTCCTTGAGCTGCTTCTGCAGCTCTGCCTGCTGCTCCTGCATCTTGGTCTTCCACTCCTGCAGCTGCTCCAGCTGGATCTTGTGCTTCTCCAGCTCCTTTAGTTTGGCTTTGTCCTCTGTTCGTTTCATCTTCAGCGTCTCAAGCTTCTCGTCCAGATCCTTCACCTGAGCACGCAGGGCCTCCTCCTCCTATAGTGGGGGGACATGAAGGGTTACGAACACTAGTAATTCAAAGTGTGATCTTTGGTTTGTAATCTTTCTTTAATTGTGCTGTGTTTGTTATCCTCTGAAAAAAGGCCAAAAATAGCAGATTTCTCTCTAAAGACAAGGGCATGCTCACATGCTTAATTAAAGGTGTGTTTACAGGATACATATTTGCACAGAAGATGCAGAAAAACACACACCAGCGAAGGCCTCACACCCGGAATGAAGCCATCACACCTTTGACAGCTTGTTAAAATGTTAGTGAGAGAAACACAACAGTTCACTGCAGAAACATCACATCACCCCATATCTCTGCACCTTCGTTTCCATAACGACCTCCTCCTGAGGGGTGAGACAGAAATACAGTAACACAGGTTACCTCTAACCTTAAGTTTGGTTTCACTCTGATCTTTATTTATTCACTTTTCTTAATTACAGCTAATTATCCTTTGTCTTAAATATTTTCCAATCGAAATAAAGGAATCAGGGTAGAAATTATGTTTTTAGACTTTAATCATATTACTAAAACTGTGGCATAAAAACGAGGAAGCCTTCTGTTTTAGCCTTTGTGATACGCTTAAACAGTTATCTATAAGCAATTTTGATTTCTTATCACACGTCAATACAAAAAAATTGCAAATGATGGTTTCACAATGACATTGACCAGTACCAATCAAAGTATTACAAATGTATTCTTTTTTTTATCCAAAACAAACCTTATTTCATAAAATAATATAGGAATATTGAGAACAGGTCCTGTTTTACTTTCTCATTACTGAACCAAATTATATTTACTAAAAAAATTATGAAGCAAATATATTTTAATTTTCTTAAATTTAGCTTTGGGATCACATTACATCTCTTTATTATCAGTAATTTCTCAGCCTTTTGGAAGCTGGACACATGTAAGCTGGCTTTATTTAACAAAAAAAAAAACAATATGCTGCATGATTTACTCTTCAATCCCAAAGAGTTTTATTCGGATGAATATGTTTAGTCAAACGTCAGTAACCTTTCTAAAAAAAAAAGCATGGCAAAATGTCCTTATTAAGTGCATCAAAGACCACTACAGGAGAAAAAAAAAATCCAACAGGAAAAAACATTCTAATTCCTAGCTTGTCAAATATTGAGTGTTTAATCCTGATGCAAAAGGAGGTACCCCTCACGTCTTATATTGACGCTCAGGGTAAAAGACAGATTATGAACATTATATCACATGACCTGCGACAAAGTTGTTGTTGAAAGCTTCAGACTTGTATGGCGACATGAATACTAATATAAATAAAGGACATGGGTTACTGCTAGTTTGTTACTTTGTATTTCATAGAAATGTTTACTAAGTTCCTGCCACAACCTGTCATGCACCCAATGCATCACAAAATGATGAGGGCGGAAACCCCGCCATGTCAGTATCTGAGGCACCGGTGGCTAGACAAAGAGTCAATATTTGATCAGTACGGAGTGAAAACGCATTGGACGTATTATATATGGCATATAATGGTATCGGTCTTGGTAGAACAGGCTTCCCAGTTAAACATGGAAACTCTCACCATTTTGCAACAGCCCTGATATTCAACATGCTCACAGCTGGATGCTCTGAGTGCTATTTTCTTTTTTTCTGATCAGACATGTTTGTCTGATCTGTGCAGAAAGGAAAGGTTATCCCTGATTCACAAACTAAAAACGTTATGCTTTTTTCCTTTTTGGGGGCAGCCAGAACTCTTCTGAACCTGTGGAGCCTCTCTAATTGGGAGCGTTTAATACATTAATAAATAATTGTGTACATTTTTGTATTTAGATAACACAAAATTAGAATTAGACTGTTCAATCAGCAAATAAACAACCCCACAGCATAATTCTGCCACCATTTTGTTTCCCTGTGGAGTAAAGAATATTTAAGTGAGGCTTCAGTAAAGGAAGAAGGCTCCAAACTCCCTGATCCAGATGTATGGAGAGCATCACGGCACATGTAAAACACAATCAGTACTTGCTGGATATTCCTGCAGTCTTCTCTGTGATTGATTTTAACCTTGCAACAAAAATGTAACCATGAGAGATGAGCTGTGTTTAAGTTTGATCAGATTCACTATAAATTATGTTAATCATGTTCCAAAAACCCTTAATGTTAAAAATGAATAAAGAAAGTGCATAAAAACAAGATAGAGATAATTTTTCAGCTTATTTATACAAGCTATAAGTCACAATAAAGGTGTAAAAAATGAACATGCTTTTGCTCAGTTTGTAGTAAATAAAGCCCCTTGTTTATTTTGGCAATAACAACAGCGTCCAGGAGGTAAACAAGGAAGTCACTGGCTAAGCAACCTAGCACATCCCAGCAAAGTTATGAAAATAAAAAAGAAAAGTTAAAGATTCACAGTGAGAAAAAATGCAAAAAAACTATTTTGACTCTAAGAGGGATAAATAAACTCAAATAGCGATGAGAATAAAGTATAAACAGTGCTCATTGAAACCAAAGCTGAAGCTATAGCTTTCTTGGCTCTGTTTCTTGAAGCAGGTTTACCGAACACTCAATCAGTATGGCAAGCTGTTCTGATATGTACTATTGTACTAACATGTATTCCTAATATCTAAAAAGAAATTTTTTTCCCTGTCAAAATGACCATGTCAAACAAAAAGACATTCTCCACATCTAGAATAAACATTCTCGATGTCTATAAATTAATTTCATATCTCCATATTCCTAATATTACTGGTCAGCATTCATATTATTTTAACTACGCACGCAGCTACAGCTCACACTGTAAACATGGTTACTTTGGTCTGTCAATTTTACAAAAAGAACTCCATTTCACTCGCACCCCATCATGCTTTTGTGTTTTCATCTGAGAGGAAGAAGAGGAATCCTTGTTTCCACATGCCCACTGACTGATATGTCCATGACGGTCAAACATCAAATATGTTTGATTTTCCCCTGACCTCACGATTCCTGATCGGGAGGTGGTCATGAGAGGCTGATCGCCCCTTGTTAACGCTGTACACTGCACAACGCACGATCAGTCTGAAAGTCTCGCACAACAGGAAAGTCATCCAGAAAAGGTAAAAAAATCGTGCAGTGTATGCCTGGCTTTAGGTTAAATACTATCAGGAATCAGGACAGACATTTGCTGTATATACCCTAATTTTATCTGAATGGTTTTTGGTCTTTTTTGTACATTATAGGCATATTTTGTTACTATGATTCTTAAAAAAAGAACCATGTGTGAAAATCATGGCACTAGCATAAACCGTATGTGCAATAAATGGGCATCACTGATACTGAAGAGTTATCCAGGATTAAAAACTAGTATTTAGAGGTATTTAATCATCTAATTTAACAAATACATATTCGGATACACAACCTTCCCACACAATGTGTTTCTCCTTGTAATGGGAAGAAATTTTATTTATATTCTTTATTATTTTAGATTGAACAAAAATCGTTTTTTTATACATTGATTCGTTCATGTGTTTCAGCATGGTGCTGGTAAAGTAGTTAGAGTGTCGAGCTTGTGTCTGATTGAGTCATTCTGCAGGATGACAACAATAAAAATATGTGATTGAACTCATTTTTCTTTCTCTGTCAAGAATTTCTACATTGTAATAATCTAGAAGGATAAGTCAGGAATCTTTTTATTGCATTATCATGATCTATATGTACTCAAACAAGAACCTCAGCTGTGTGTTGGGATGCTTTGACGCTGACCTTGCTGGGAACGGGAGGCGGCGGGTTCCCTGGTGAGTGGAGGGTAGGGATGACCGGAGCTGCCAGAGGCGTCTGAGCTGGCGTGCTGGGCTCGCTGCTGCTCATCTCGCCAGCGGACGCCGATGCTGAGCCGGATGCGGCCCCCTTCCCACCGCCACCTGCAGGCCGGCTGGGTTGCTGGGAAAAAAAGAGATCAGATGTGATTAATAAAATATTATTGAATATGAAAAAACTTGGTTATATCTCAATGAATCTGCCACAAATGTGTTTAGTGTTTAATGCTGTGATATGTTGGTCTGATAGAGCTGGCTGCATCTAGCATCCTGGTTAAGATATCTCTAAGAAAACCTGCTCTGTTTTCATATGTTTTCAATAAGCGATAAATCTTATGATTTCTGTTGCTTTTGAAAGGAAACTTTAATCCATCCTAAATACCAAAATATGATCAGAACAAGAAAATAAATGCCCTAAACGGTCAAATCTAAACATATTACCAAACATGGTCCATCCACAGTCTCAAACACATCAAGAGTTGGTAGCAGCAACCTGATTTCTAACCTGAAAAGCTGAGTTGTACTCAACGTCTGCATGTTTTTTTCGACCAGTTAACACATGCTAACACTAGTAGGTTGCTAATGGATGCAAAGTTAGCCATTTTCATTATCAGCCAGATGTTAAAATTAAGTCAGGAGGAGCAGAGAGATGTAATAAGCTATCTTTAAAGGAAACCGTTGTATCTATGACATGTCTGATATTCAGACTGAGAAAAAAATGAGAGAGAGAAACACTTTCAACAGATAACAGGAAGGCTAGAAGAGTACAGCAAAGTTTATGCTTTTTCCGTTTTTGATCTTGTCTATGTATGGAGTGAATCTTGTTTTATTATTGTTGTAAGCAAAAAACATGCTTTGTACAATGAAATTGAAAAAAAATAAAAAACATATTTTATGAACTGAAATGTAATGAAAATGCAATCCTGAAATCGAAATAAGAAAAATGTTCTAATAAAGGAAAAGGTTTTGATAGTAACTTTGCTGTTTTCTATTTTTTAATTTTTTTTTCATCAAATGTTACTTTGGTAAAGTGTAATTTTTATATTTCTTTCTAAATGGATATTACTTATACAGAGTTAATATCCTAACATTTTCTGTAAATGTTCTCCCTTCAAGTTGAGTTTCATGAATTGCTTTCATTAAAATTGCATTTTGAACATAACATCCTCTTCAATTCTGGGAGCGGGCTTTTTATCCAGAGTGAGAAATGAAGACACATTCCTATTGGTCTCCATGGATATTAGCAACAATATTTTTTTGGTTAATGTGCACACTAAGAACATTTGTATTGTGCTTGAAGTAAAGCAAATGTGATCTGTAAAATACAATTTGAAAAGAATGCTATTTGTAAAACTCAAACTGAAAAACAGATATAACAAAATGAAAATGTATCATCTGGTAAAAACACTCAAAATGAAACACAAGACAAAAATTGAAATAAAACCAGAGAAAACAGCAAAGTTTCTCTCAAAACAACTGTCCAAGTTTCATTCCTGGGTTGCATTTTTCATTTTTTCAAATTTCTAATCAAAAATAAAGTTTTTTGCTTGCAACAATGTTGGAATTAAATTCACTCAAAAAATATGTTGGCAGCCTAATGAATAACAAAACAAAGGCATTATGATTGTTATGATTTCCTAGGGAAATAGATAAAACCCCATTTTTGTAAACTAACAAGTTTACAGGTAACTAACAAACTAACATAGTCACAAATACTCTGAACTAATTTCAGTTTAAAATGTGAATGTGCTGCTATTTAACAAAAGGTACTGGCAGGACAGCATATAGAAAATTTAGATCAGATTTGTCCACTAAATTGTAATTAGTGCTTCTCTATCGCTGCTTGGAGGCCCTTTGTCTACCCTTTAAATGTATGACTCAGCTAAAGATCTATGTTAATCTGCGTCTAAAAAATGGTCGAATTCTGATTTAAAAAACTGTGATTTGCTCTGTAAATTACACCATATTATGTATGTGTGTTTAGAGGGAAATGTAGGAAATGTGAATATAAAAATAAAATACATTTATCAAAATGCCTTAGAAATAATTTCCGCATGAGGTAAAACCAACAAGCAACCACACAAATGAAGTTGACTGAAAAGGTGCTGAAGCCCTGATGGTGCTGAAGTCTGAGCTCACCTTGGGCCTTCTGGCCGTGGTCTGAGGAGCAGAGGGAGGAGGAAATAAAGAGGAAGAGAGAAAAGGTGGAAGGGCAGAGGGAGAAGGAGGAGGAAAAGGGAGGAAACAAACAACCAGGGTTAGAGATTATATGCAAAATTCATTATAACTGGAAAACAACAGAAAGAAAGGATAAAATGGAAGGTGATAGAAACAAAACTGATCTATCCGATTCTCTGGCATTAAGAGCTCCTCCCACCCCTCTTAACTACTGTCTCTCTAACTCAACGCTATCTCAACTCTTCCACCAACACTACCAAAATCCTCGGAACTAACAACACACTGTGACTGGCACTGCCTCTTCCACATCAATGCCCACTTTGTGTCTCCATCTATCTCGTCTGAGCCAGGATCTATTGTGCTGCGAGCACAATTCAAACACGCAGAGATAATAGCCTGTTATCCTGATACATCACTTGTCGAGTCGGAGATGCAGCACACATCAGGCCAAAGAAGAAGGCAGAGAAATCCACAGGGTTTCAAGTTTCAACAGAAGACACTTGCTCCGAGCCAATCTGAGAAAATAAATCTTTACTTACATGACAACCTGTTATTATAAGGCCATACATTTTCTTTACTTTCAACCTCTAACCCACCACCTTTTGGTTTTTTTATATGTGCTCTCTGGCTGTGATCGTTGTTCTTGTTGTTGGACTAGGGGACTAGAACTCTGCCTAAGAGGAGGAAAGCTGCTGCACCCAAGTCTGATAAAATCTGCCTGAACTGAGCCACCAGGTTATAAAACAGATAAAGCACCTAAGTGAGCGATGATTTCCCCTGCTGAATGAAGCGCAGAGGATCCTGCTGGTGTTTCCGTTTTTTATTACATGTCAGAAAGACAGACTGAGCCGGTCGAAAGGATTTCCAGGAAGGGTAAATAGGTAAAATATTCTACACAGTAAAAAGCATCTAAAAAACTACAACTTAACTGGGCTGTTTTTTTATTTGTTCTGTATTCTTTCCTCGATTTACCCAAAATAATGTGATGGTGTGGCTATCAATAGGGTCAGTTTGATCTAAATAAGATCTAACAATTAATATTTTTAAATTAAAGCTTCCATATTTTATTTTTTTTTCTCTTTATTTCTAAAAATATTTGATTTAACATTGTCATAATAATCATTAACTATTAATACACATTTCTGACTGATCAAAAACAAACAAATCATAATATTAGAAAATATACAGAAAAATCAACTTATTTCTTCCGTCTTATAATGAAGTTTTGAAAAAAGGTATTACTAACAGATTTTTGTCCTTTCATTAAACAAATCTTAATTTTAAAGAAAGATGAAAGAAAAATTGAAAATATAAAAAACAGACTTGTGATTTAATAAGCAAATAACAGTCAAACCATTGAGGTTTTAATAGTAGAAATCATTTCCCCTAAAATTAATAAGAACTTCAATCAAGAGTTTACCAGCAATGAGTGTTAAAGCGCTGCAGAGGAATGTTAGCCCACTTTGTTTTGCATAATTGTTGTGATTCCGCCATATCAGAAGTCGTCAGAAAAAGCTTGATATGATGACATTCTCTACCAGAAATCTGTTTAGATTAATTTCAGTAGCCACACCAAAAGCTGCAAAGCAATGGCCTACGTGTTTGACAGCCCTGTGATGCTATATTTTGAAGCACTGTGTACGTTTCACACCAGATCTAATTAAAGTCAACGTTTACTCATCAGTCCACAGAACATATTCCCTTTAGGCACTCTTCCCTAAAACTGGTTTTAGCATGAATGTCCTTCCAACGGTGCAAGTGCTCGCTTTCTAATTCCAACAAAGTTAAAAAACAAATGTTTCTAATTGTTTTTTTATGACAGCTCTAGGACCTTTAGATCAGACGACATGTTATGGGAATAATTTTGGCAGGCTGACGTCATCTTATAAAGTTCCACAGCTGTGTTATGTAGAGGTGCACTGAAGACAGGTTTCTAGACGGTCAGATTACTGGTTGTTTAAAATCCTGAAATATCGATTCTGATTTGGACTGATACGTTTTTTTTTGTTTTGTTTTTTTATAATTTACTGTCAATCACAAGACATCTTAAATATTTAAATGTGTTCTTACTGAAAAATATTGAACAGTACCCCAGAAACACAAAGAACTGCTCTCAAACATAAATGCAAAGTTCAGAATATTAAGAGTAGGTGACTTTCAGACCTTTGCAGAAGTAGAAAAGTTCAGCAGTTCTTTCAAAACCAGGGAAATCAAGGCCAATCAATCGGACGGCAGTTTGATCAGTTCTCATCTGTTCTTACTCTACATTGGGCTTTAAGAGATGCTTTTATAGATTTTCTAATCCTACTTCATGTTATCAGAAGGGTACTCTTTAAAGTATTATTTTTTAGATTCATCATGTGTTGCAGGAGTGTTGCTAATCAAGGTTAATTCCTGATTTAAGAAGAGCCCTCTAGGTTGGTTTGTATCGCTTTTTTTTACTAAATAAAATTATTTAAATACTAGTGTTTTTTTCATCTTTGTAAAAGTAAAATTTGTTTCGTAATCAAAAACATTTAAGGGTTACCAAAAAGCGCAAACAAACATTTGCAAATACTTCTTTACAGTACTGTAAACCAGGATTAATGGCTCCAAACATCTCTCCTGTTTAAAGGGCATATGCACAAACAGACATGCATAAGTTCCTGGACTTTTCTGTCCCGTGCAAACCAGCCTCTTGCCTCTGCTTAGCTTAAGGCATCATTATCGCTTCATCCTTCTCTATTGGATTACAGAAGGATCATTCAGATGAACTGAGGCTTAGTAATGTAAACAGCTATAGCCGATGATTAAGTAGAGCTGAGTGACTATCTAAAGCCATCACTATTTGGACACAAACTAATCAGAAAAATCAGGCTGATTGCAATGCAAAAAATTAAATAAAAATAAATAAATTAACTATAAGTTTTCATTTTAGGCAACAGAATATTACAAAGCTGCAGACACATGCTTAAACACAAAGTCATTCTGCTCCCAAAAGTAATAAAATAATATATCACGCAATAAGAACACAACAGGAAGACTTTCCACTGAAGAAAACTTCTAAGCACGCCCTTCATAAGACAAATGGATGATGATGACAACAACAACATCCCAACAGATAAAGAAGATTATAGGAAGTTTCTGTACCTTCCGGGTTGTAGGGGTCTGTCTCATCATTTTTGAAGGAGGAGAAAACACACACAGACAAGAGACAGTCACCAAGTCACACACACAGGAAGGAGATAAAACAGGTAAAGATCCACAGAGAAAGAGTTCAGGGCAGGCAGGCTGGAGCCGAACAATCAGACAGGCAGCGGTTCAGGCTAGAGAAGCTGCAGTGGTGCAAACGGCATGACGATGTATTCCCAGGCTCCCCCACCCTCCCTCCCTCTGCCGATCCCTTCCTCCTACTGGCGTCCTCCTTTATGTCCTCTTTCTCGGTTTCTCTCATAATCCGTTTGCCGGAGCTTTCAGTCGATGCCTTCCCTCTGCTTTCAGCTCTGATCTGGGGCTCTGAGAACCTGCAGACATGAGCTTTGGACCTGCCACTGTTGCCTGCTATACAAGAGATGCCCCTGCTCCCTTAACCTGCCCCGTCTCCTCTTCCTCCCCTTTTCCCTTATTGTGATTTGTCAGCCCCGGCTGATGCCGCGCTCCTGCATTACATCACTGTGTGTGCCCTCCCTGCCTCCTCGTTGCTCACCCACTCATCACCACCTCGACTAGAGACACACAGACAGAGAGGGCGGGAGGAATGGGTGAGGCAGCAACTGGGGACAGACAGGGGAGGTAACAGAGGCTGAGACAGAGGAGGGCGGCGCTGTAAATGGAAGCGTCAGGGAAAAATGAGCAGCAATGCTGCCTGACGTCTCCTAGCAACATGATAGGCCCTCCAATGGGATTATCATAATAAGGTTCACAGCAACCAGGGAGTGTGTTGGGGGGGTCTACCTGTATTGCTTGAAGAAATATTCATTAAAAAAGGGACTCCAGATTATTATCCACAAGTTATCTTCTATTTCCGATCCTAAATTCTATGAATTTAAACAGTTCTGGTTGTCAACCTGTTGCTGGTAACAGAGTCTCCTACTTCCACTCCACTAAAGGCCTTCACTTTCCCCCGGTGCTTGAAAGTGAGCTCAATCTCTATGTTCCCATCTGCCTCTCTGTGCCGACAGGATTTGTCCTCTAACCTTTAAAAGCGAAAACCTTCCATAGATGCAGCTCAGTGACATTTAGCTTGTTACAAGCAGTTGGGTTCCATAAATGTCATCAGTCTAGATTTGATAAGAAATGATAAAAAAAAAAAGAAAAAACTTTCAAAAGGCTTTATTTTGAAATGAGGATTAATGTCATCAAAGTAAAATTTTCTTGGTAAAAGTATTTACACCCCCCGAATGTTACCCTAGTCTGCCACAACTGTATTAACATATTAAATCATGATTTTATGACAACAAACATAAAATACAGTTTTTGTATGTTTTTTTACTAAACCAATAAATGTGTGTAGTTGTATTCAGGCAGAGACAAAAGTCTTTAAATTCCATAATACAAATGTTTAGATAGAGACTTGGTAAATATGCTGAAAATATATATAGTAGGATTTTAGTTTTAACTGCTTATACTAATATTTGGCCAAGTCCATGTGCCTGACTGTCCTTAATGGCAACACTAGATGTACGGTGAATTATTCTGGCATCATGGTACATTACACTATAGTATTGAATTTTAGGGAGTATTAAGCAAAATTATACCATTAGGTGGGGCTTTTGAGGAATGTCTGTAGATCGATCAGAACAACATGGCGCCTCTCTCTACCTCCACTCCAACTACTAATCCAACCTGCCATGTCCAGTGAAGATGGACATGGCAGGGTTCTTCTGAACCTCTATGCTTCCTCAAGTCGGCACCAACGCTCAAAAGCTTGACTGATGTTCACCCTTTGCTTTTTTTTTTTGCTTGAATCAAATTAATGTAACACAGAGAAAAAGCCATTTCTCAGCGCTGTCATGAAGCTACTAGGATCTGGAAATGCCATCTTTATTTCTAGAGGTGGTGGCATCATTTTTGAAACAATCATTAATATAGTTTATTTCTTTCGGTAAAAAAATATTTTCTGCAACACTAGATGTATTTCCTCATGCGTCACCCACATGGCTTGTGACAAACAGAATTTCTAAACTTTCTCTGCACAACCTTTCTTCTCCACCCTGTTCATCACTGTTCCATCAACAAATTTTTTTCCACCTGAGCTCAAAACACTGCATCTCCTCTAGAGTGTAACCCCCAGCTCACCCCTTGCTCACACTGGCTCCGGTGCGGTTACCGAGCCGACGGAGACCGCAACTCTGATCAATGCTTTCTTCTAGGGCCTCTGTTACATTTCTTGGCTAGTTTCAATACTTTCTGGGCCCTTTTTTTGCATTTATTTTTAATCAGTATTAATCTATCCATAAAAACCCTCAGTTATTGAGCTTTTTAACATTTATTGAGTTCTGCTGTAATAGTGTGACAAAATGGGGAAAAATACACAGTCCTACTTTTATTGCAGAATGTACAGTGGGTGTGACTTCATTAGTTTACAGGTATTCCCAATAGGTCTAATTGGTGATCTGAATCCTTACAGCCAGAAGCTATTTGAGTAACTCTTGTGATATCTCCCTAAGCTCCTCTAATCTCCTTCTCCCGAAGCCCAGCAGATAGTTAAAGAACAATAAGAGGATTATTTCAGGCCTGATACTCTGATTAGCTGCAAGCTTTCAACTCAAAACACTCAAATCAGGAACAGAAATATGATGAGAGGATTTGTTAAAAAAAAAAAGAACAAAACTGTTTATATGTATCATAACAGAGTAGTTGAGGAAAATCATTTGGCTTTAAATATTAACGTCTTTCTCTGTAAGCCACTAGGTTGCTCTCCACTGTGTAATTGAAGGGATGCTCCCAGAGTGATGTTAGCAGCAGGAAAGAGAGGAGCAACCAGATGAGATGCAGATCTATCGGATTTCAGCTTTCCAAGCAAAGAAAAGCTTTAGTCCCCGAGGGCATTTGGTGCAAGACAAGAGAAGGATTGAATTACCTCCATGAGAGCATTAACAACACACAACCAGACACCCTCAGCTTGTACGTTCTGGGCATTTCCACAAACTACATGTCTCTTTCCCTTATCTGTACATAGGATGCAGACTTTCAGAGCCGTCCTGTTTGTTCAGAAATGTCAGCCTCCTTCCGACTCACCGACAGAACATTTAAGGTTCAGCGTTCAAAGTTCTCCCTCTGTCGGTAAAATTCAGCCTCCTGGCGTGGAGATGCTGGGCTAAGAATGATCAAATACACCAAGCTGACAGGAAATCTATGCTGTGCAGGTCTCCACAGACAGGAGGGCGTCTCATTTCACCTCAATGACTCTTACATTCTCTGTTCAATAAGGCAGAGGAGCGTCTGCATGTATTAGTCAGATGACAAGGTGAGTTCAAAAACCTCTTAATTCATCACTTTATAAAATGAAAGGGAAAAAGTAAACTAGGCATGCAAATGTACATTAAATCTATATCAACATAGTTCAATAAGTTGGGCCTCCTGCTGCAGGACAATCTGAGATTGTTACTAATAATGTCAAATGTATATATTTATATATATATGTAGTGTAAGAATTGTCATGTTAAAAAATATGGTAGTTAGCATGGGCAAATACTAATATCTATTTATAGCTAAATATGCTAAATAAGTGCTTAATCATTTGATATTTTTTAACTAAACGACAAAAAAAGGTTTGTACTAATCTTGAAATGTATTTATTTTCTTTTAAAATTGTGCTAAAATCAGGATATTTTAAATCTATTTTCATTAAACAGCAAACCTCAGCCCCTTTACATCTGTTCAACTGCTTGTTAAAATAAAGTATGAATCAAAGCAAAAACAAGGCAGCATTTCAATCCATTTCCAGATGTACTGAAGGCGACTCCCTGGGGAGGAGTAGGAGGGATGAAGGGGTGGTCTGGAAAATGTTAAAGTCTGCTGATCGATTGGATTTGTCGTGCATAACCATCTCTAAGAGTATACAGAGATTGGTCTGAAAGAGAGAATATTTCCAGTAAGCAATGGTTCTGGCGCAGTAAACAAACACCCTCTCTATCTGATCAGGAAGGGTGGTGTGAAGCAGACCTCCATGATTCCAGCTCAAAGTTGAGGCAAAGTGAGTCTTAAGCAGCGTATCTTCACAGGGCATCAACTTTTAATTCTTAGCTAATGTCTCAGGTGTGAAAATCGTTTTTATGGCCATAAGAGGTCTCAGTATTTGTTCAACCTTCAGAAGTTACAAGCTATGGGGACTCCATGCTGCCTGTCAGTCTCTATGAGAATTCCATATGGAGCCTTTTTATATTGACACACGCAGCAGGGAAGTACGATCCTGATTGGATAACATGCAAATACTCGTCACTTCCACTGAGGCTACACCTTTTATGGGCTCTATGTCCAAGGGCGGGTCATGATGCTGGCAACTCGATGCTGATTGGCAGAACACACTAAAAGATTTGACTGATAGTGGGCAGACAGAGGTGAGGTTTTCCTCATGAGGCTTTGATTAGAGAGGAAAAAGTAATCATTCAGTCAGAATAGTCGTCTTGTGCTGAACTCTTGCTATGAATACTAATGTTTATTATTTCAAAACACTATACAACAGTTATTTTCACCTGTTAAAGTAATGGATTTTTAATGCAATACGTAATGTCTTAATTTTATTGATATTGTTGAGTCTCCCCAGTTTCAGAGAGCAGCAACTACCACTGATTTCATAATATATTCCCCTATAGGTGAGGTTGAAAGGATTCAAACAGCAGGATATAAGACCTTTAAAGGAATAGATCTGTTTTCATCTGGTGGCATGTGTGAATAGTTTAAAGGCAATCTCTCAATAACAAATCAGTGATCTCCAGAAAAGAGATGCAGAGTTCCTTTTTCAGAGATTCAATCATCTTTGAGAATGACAATCTTCCACAAATCCATTACTATAGCAAATCTATCATGACTGCCTTCTGGGGGCAGCAGCAACCCAGACGTCTGGATAGGTTCAGTCCTTGGAGCTAAACCTGGTAACAAAGTGGCATCATTTCTGTGCACATAAAATAAGCCTTTCAATGTGCTTGAGGAAAACCTTTTTTTTAGTTTATGTCAGTTTGCTTTTGTCAGAACAGATCATCTATACCACAAAACCTGATTGGATGAAAAATTTAAATATTTCAACACCTGGCCTACACACTAACAATATAACGTAGACATTTTCCTTTTATTTATCACATTTAAATTTGTGCAGAAAGCAGACGGACACAGAGCAGTGAGACAGAGCAAACATGGCGGACAGACCTGAATGAAAGCATAGAGAACAGAGCAGAGGTGGGTGAAATAAATTCAGGAAATGATGGCGATAACAGACATAAAGCCTCATCTCTGCCAGCCTTCACTTAGCGCCTCGCCACGAGCGCCAGGGGTGGCGGTGTAGTGAGCTGCGAGGAATCATGAGATTATGACGAGGGGGCGGCCCCATTTGCCATGCAGCAGCTAGGCCATTCAGAGCCATGGCTACCATGGTGACAGCGGTCATTGTCATCATAAAACTGCAGCAGTACCGAGTTTAGGGAAACATGCAGCACCTTTCTGGGCTTCAGTCCTCGCTGCGTGGTCCAAGGAAGGACAGGAGGGAAAGGATGGAGGGGGGAGGTTAAAGGTCAAGAGAAAGACAGTGACATGCAGGGGTTGACGGGAAGTGATATACTTTTCGTTATCTTCGGAGGCTGCGGTCACACATTTAAATCATTTACAGCCTTGGTTTTACTCATTTGTTTGCTTTCTTGTGAGCTAAAAATGCACTGTAGGTCAAAATAATGAATACCCCTTGAACTTTAACATGTTTCAAAGTGTTTTAACAGGATTTTACATGATGAATCAACACAGCACAGTGTGAAGTAGACGGACTTAGACTTTCTAAGTTAGAACAGAAAATGTGTCACCTCAACTATATTCAGTCCTTTTTAGGTCAGTATTTTGTGAAGCCACCTTTGGGTGCTAGTAGCTGCAGATCTTCTGGAGTATGGCGTTTTACATTAAGAGACTGTATTTTATGCCCTGCTTCTTTACAAACCAGCTAAAATTCACCCAGACTGAATATGTCTGAAAATCAGTTTCTAAGTCTTAATTGGATTGGATTTAAAGGTTTGACTAGGCCATTCAAACATAAATACACTTGGATCATAACCATCTTTACAAAACTCTTCATACACTATCATTTGAAGCTTCTACAAGAGTTACTTTCAAGGCAGGTTCATATTTAACTTCACTCACTGAATAAATCTTTTAGCACAGCTAAGTGTTGCTACCATATTTGCTATAGTGGGAGAAGTGCGTTCAACTAACCAAATGTTCATCAAAAAATGAAGACTTGAAGAATTAAATTATTTTCTCTGCTTTTAAAAGTACATTATATTCAGGAAATGGCACTAGTTATGTGACAGCTAAAGCCAAATGGTTTCACTGAGAGATATTTGAGGTTGATAGAAAAAAGAAAAAAAAAAGAGACTGAATACGGATAAATGCCACTCATAAAAACACTATGAAAACCCTTTACAATCATGTGCTACTTTGGACAGATCCAGATAGAAAACGTTGCAGACGTTTTAAAAGAACAACATTTTAAAAGGTGTATGGGATATTAGCATATGTTTTGTGGGGTAATGCAAAATAAACCCACTAAATGTGTTAAACTCCATTGATGTTGCTGTGATATTATTTATGCCACCTTAAGTTGAGATCAGACCTATAAGAATATCTGTGAGGGTTTGAGCTCTTCTAAGAAACTGTTGCCTGTACATGTTTAATTAGAAAGTTCAGTTTCTGTAGGACTAAGGTAAATAGAAAAAGAAAAAAAAAACTCATTTGTATCCCAATAATCATCAATTTTGGTTTAATTGAAGAGAAATAACGCCCTCTGCTGGACAATGTATTAGCCTCTGGATCAAACCAGGAACAAGGACAATGAAATGCATTATTTTTTACCATGCCATAGAAAAAATCTGTTGTGTTATGCTAGGTACTATGCGTTCAGGTTTGATGCCATATATTCCGTAGAGAAAACCATACCACTGTGTAGCCATCTAACCTACCAGTTTGGCAGACTTGGACATCTCCACGATCTCTGCAGATAAAGCAAAGGAATAAAGATAATAAGAAACATATTCAAATGGTATTATCATTCAATTATGCTTTACAAGATATAAGGTTCAGAAAGATGTCCAGTTATGAGCACAATAAAGTAAATATAATATGCTATCCTTCGACCAGTGGGTCAACACTTAGCACAGCACAGTTTGAATCTGATATATTTGATGCACATTTATTAATTTATTTTTTATTTGAATGTGCTGACTGGTGGAACAGCTGCACCAGCAGGTAAATCCTTCAGACGAAAAGTTATATTACAAACATATTAAAGAAAACAAATTAAAAAATAAAGACACAATTCTAATTGTGTCATTACAGTCAAAAACTTTATTGCATGCATTCAGTTAACACGATTCCATAATTTGTAGCCTTTTAAAACAGGAAAAAGGATGTCACTGGGAAAAAAAGGATATCTATAGCAGCTTTACGAGTAACAGGTGAACATTTTGGCTAATTTGTGATGTCTACATATAAAGTTCAGTCAGAGGACAGAGAGCATCAGGGGGCATCAATTTACAAGCCTCAATAAAAATTCAGGGTATCCTGAGTGATCTCTATAGTTATGCTTCTATAGGCTTAGGCTGCTGGAGGACCACTTTTCGTCACTCTGTTTCACTATATCTGTTTTTTCGAATTCTGAAGTATTCGTTAGTTCAACCACTAACTTTATGTTCTCTCAGCTTTTCCTTGTTATAGTAGCTTCATCTGGTTTGGTTTTGTTTGCCTGTGAGGCCATCCTGGAGGGAAGTATCAGCTGGGATGCTGCCATCAGCACCCCCGATTATGGATGATAGAGTTCTCATACTCACTGTACTGGCTAAGAGCTCATTAACTACTTCGTTCCAAGACTGAGCCACCTGTGAAGGTAGTTTACATTTAACTCTTCGAACATAGACAGTATTTCTTTTTTGCCTCCTTCTTTCTTTAAGCCCCAGCTGGCCTTGGCAGAAGAGCACTCACACTAAGCCTAATACTGCTGGAGTTTTCTCCTCCAGTTAAAAACTGAGTTTTTACTCTCCTCTGTTGCAGCATGCAGGCTCAGTGTGAGGAATGCTGTAGAGTCAGTGACAAAATGCAAGCAAAAATCTATGGTTGCCACATGCTCATCCAGGAGAAGCAAATCATGCAAAGTAAATGATTGGATGCTATCAGCTGGCTTTTTTTTTGACAGAAAACATTTTACCAATCTGACTATAATCTTACTGAAGTGCCTTGCGATGGCGCATGTTGTGAATTGAAGAATATCTTCAGATCTGATCCTAGTCTCATATATTCAGCTGCTTCCAACAGCTTTCCCTTAAGGATTGTCCTGTATGTAGCCCCGTCCATCTAGTGTTTTCAGTGCAATCAATGTTTCATTTTCTATCCCTGGTGATTGCCTATATGGCCTTTGCAAACAATAAAATTTAAAGTTGCAAAGAGTTAATTAACTGTTTAGAAACTTCAGACCAGACACAAAGGTTCTACTGCTGACAGACAGCCATTTCAGGAGGCCTTTAGTGGTTCAGATTTTGAAATACACTTTAACAGATAGAGATGTTTTACATCTCAGAAAGGCCTTCTTAGCTTTTATAATTTTAACTTATACAATTAATCTGAAAATAAATCAACTTTATTAGATAATCTATATTAGAAAGCTATAGTTCATTATTTAAGAAGAAGGGAAACGAGGAACACTTAAAAGAGAAAAGTATTATTTTCCATTCCTAACCAGCGCTAGGAAAAACCACAAGCTAACCAGAAACATTTTCCATATCATTTAAGAATGTAGGAAACTAATAGGCGTGTCTGAGTTGTTTTTTTCCCTGTGGGAGATCCTACCTCGTTTGGGGACCTTGCCAACGGTTGGCTCAGGTGTCTCTGGAGATGTGTCCGCTCCATCGTCCACCAACTGGATCTGGGACAGAGGGACACAGAACAGGAGGCAGTCAGTCATGCCTGTTCAACCAGCTCCCTGTTTTACAGAGCGGCCCAGCTGCCAGAGACGGATGTAAGCAGGAGAAATATGGAACAGAACTGGCAGAGAGGACCAGCATAAATCATATACAACTGTAAACCATGCTATTCCACAACCAGTTTCTATTTCTGTATCATAAGAAGGTACATAAATCAGTTATAAAACATATCAATTAACCTCATGTTTATTCTATGAAAATGCATCAGAGGAAGTTTTATACCCAGAAAAATAATAACAGCTCAAATGTTAATCACAGCAGGTATTCAGGAGGGGCAGTACAGATCCTTTGGCACTTGTTTGGCACATTTATCTCAATTTGAGCAGTCTAAGGGTGTAATTTTATCTGATAAATAATAAACATGTGGCTGACCTTCAGCAGTTTGCATCTATTGGTACCACTGGTAATTACTATATCTGGGGGAAAAGAATCCTGTAAAATAAAGCATCTTTAATAACAAACAGCATGATTTCTCACTGAAAAATCTAGAGAAACCCATCTTTTTAAACAAATACATAAAGTTAGTAGTAGCCCTCCAGCTGATATTTTTACAGCTCACGTCGGCCAACAGGACAACACTTTGAAGATTTCACTAGACAGCATAGAGTGAAGAGTCTCGTTAGCTCTCCCCAGTACCTCTCAGATGCCCTCCTTTTTTCAGCCCAGCCCAAAGGTTTTCTATAGATCTGTGGTCTTCAACGGCTACATAAAGGACAATCCTTAAAGGCAAGCTGTTGGAAGCAGTTGAATATATAAGACTAGGATCTGAATATATTCTTTAATTCACTACATACGCCATCGCAAGGCACTTCAGTAAGATTATAGTCAGATTGGCCAAATGTTTTCTGTATATACATTATATACAGCATATATTTGCTGTTTCAGCTTCTACATTTATCTAAGTAAAGAATTATAGTACTTTTAATACATCTGTTTGAGCCCGTCAGAAGAGTCTCTTGTGGTGTGGACTAGATCAGATTTGCCACACTGCAAAAACAATCTAGAAATAAGTCAACATTTCTTAAACTAGGTGTAACCACTATTAATTTAAGCAGGTCTATAAGATGATCACCCAATGGAATTAATATTTTTACTCTTAAAATAAGATAAGTGTCTCACTTACATCCTCAATTTAAGATCAAATGCACTTATTTTAAGAAAAAAATACTTATTTAGATTTTTTTTTTCCAATGCATAAATGCAAACTGGTTTAATAAATGTTGCTGATGATAATTAATTGCAACCAAATGCAGTCATATTGTTTCATCCTGAAGGGAGAAAGTTATCATTTTAAGCCTCAAAATTAACGAAAATAATGAGTGAGTGTGTGTGCTCTTCTTACTTGTAAGTAGGTCAGATCAGACACAGAAATCAAACAGATCCAGAGTTTTATAAATACTAATTTCACTGTAATACACAAAAATGGTCTACGAAGTATAGTTAGGCTAAAAAAAAAATAGAAAAAAATCTAAGAACTAGAATGCCACGAAATATAAAAAAGCAGCAGTAAATGGCAGAGGCTTTTTAAAGAGGACATTGTAAAATCCCACAGTGACAGCCAGTGGCAAAAAAAACAAACAAACAAACAAAAAACAAGCAAAGCATAAAAACAGAAGCTGTAGGTGGGAACAATCCTGACCCTCAGGGGTCAGAGCTAGATTTTCCTCTTGTGTGCTCAGTATGTAAATTAAGGTGTATCTTTTCTTTATCTCACCTGTGATTGTCTGACGAAGATGCCGTGGTTCTCCTCACAAGTAAAGTACCGCTTGCCCTGCACCGTTCCGTCATTCTTGCCCTTGGGTTCATCCAGGATGACGCCCACCCACTTTCCGGAGGCGAACAGCGTGGTTCCGATGTAGGCCACCGTGCCCCGCTGCCCCTTGCCGATAACCTCCACCAGGGAGCCCACTTTAGCGGGCCTCCCTCCTCCATCAGAGCTCATCCTGCTGCTGCCACTGCTGGTGGTCTGGATAGAACACATGGAAATAAGAAAATTAAAAAAAAAACACAAGCAGGATTAATTCTTCTAGAACTAACACCTGACTTAATACATATATCAGTCCTTCAGACTCCTGGTTATGCTGGTGTGAATAAAACTCTTTACCGTTGTTTTCAAGTTTTCTTTTTAGGCTTGTTAGATGTGATAGAAGCTGCTAAAAAAAGAAGATAGGATGTCTTTCTGCCTTGATATCAAATGACACTAAAAATAGATCATGTGCTACAAACATTCAGTACATAAAAGCTTCTTCATAAGGCAAAATCAGCAGGAATGAATTAAACTAGAAGAGCATCAGCAGTTGAGAGTAGAAGTTAAATAAAATCCAAACTGAAGGTTTGCTTTGGCTCAAATTTTACTACAATAAAAAAAATTTATATCACACTTGATCCATCTAATTTATTGATCTTTGGACATCTCAATGTTCCATTATTTAGAAGGACCACATGTTTTTCTTAACTGGGCTAATGGTTGTCTAACTTTTTGCTAATGCCAGCATTAACTGAGAAACATCAAAAACAGAAACATTGAAGAAGCTGAAGGGCATTTGTGTTTATTCTCCATATGGTTACTTGACAAGACAGATCACTTCTCTTAAGAAAAACATCCAGACAAAATAAAAATAAAAACAGATTTGAGGTCTATAAAGTGCCGATACTCTAACGACTTATCCAGATATAATACTAACTTGGCGTGCTGACAATAGCAGGCGTTTTTATATTTTCACTACTGTTAATCTGCTCAAAGAGGCATTTATTTTTAATAAATGTCTAAGTAATCCTGTTGAATTTTACACTCTGAGCAGCAGCCCCTTCCTGTTCTGGAAAATGAGCAGCCATTGCCGTTTTAGGTAGAACAGTGATTACCCACTACCTTTTTCTGTGCCAGCCCCTCCTACAGGCCACCTTCTCATATTAGTGGGCATTTATGTGACACAGAGTGGGATCATTTCTGCTCCAACTTGAGATAAAGTGGCTCTTTTAGCAGCCAATCTGCACAGTGACAGCAATAGTTACTTTTTTAGATAATGTCTACGTGGTGAAAATGACTTTTTCAGTTGCGAGGGTTCTCAGACTTTGTTCAGCATTTCTAAAGAGGAGCCTCACCCCCAGCAGTGGTGTGATACAGTGACAAGATGAAAGCCGTACAGGCAAGAGTCCAATTTTTTCTGGGTTGGAAAAATATTACCAGAAAACAATCAATGTTTCTTAATAAATGAATACTTCATAATGTAAACTATTTCATCATGCATGTACCTATAGTTCAATTTGGAAGACTTAAAAAAGCATGGTATGGAACGTTTAGACGTAGACAAACTTGTCATTTTGTATACAAAACAAAATTCCATTGCACACAGCTAATGACAACAATGTGATTGAAATAAATAACATTACAATTTAATGTATAGTGCAGCAGTGATAAGATGTACCAGTGCAAGGAGAATAAAATGTGATTTTGTTCAAAATATCAACCAAAAAATAGATTTTCCAGTTCTCTCAAAGATCTTTAGCTTTAGGACCCCCTGAGTACAGTGCCTTGCTAAAGAATTTGCCCCCTTGACCTTTTTGATACATTTCAGGCTTCAAACATAAAGATATAAAAATGTAATTTTTTGTGAAGAATCAACAAGTGGGACAAATTCATGAAATGGAATGAAATTTATTGGATATTTTAAACTTTAACATATAAAAACAGAATAATTGGCTGTGCAACATTATTCAGTTCATACTTTGTAGCGCCACCTTTATTGCGATTACAGCTGCAAGTCGTTTGAGCTATGCCTCTATCAATTTTTCACATCAAGAGACTCCACAAATGGGCTTTGAGTAGGACATTTTAACACCTGGATATGTTCATTTGTGAACCATTCCACTTTTGCTTTATGTTTTGGATCATTGTCTTGTTGGAAGATAAATCTCAGTCCTAGGCTAAGGTCTTTTGCAGACTCAGGTTATCTTACATAATGGTCCTGTATTTAGCCCCGTCCATCTTCCCATCAATTTTAACCACCTTCTCCGTCCCTGCTGAAGAAAAACAGGCCCAAAACATGATGCTACCACCACCATTTTTGGCGATGGTGTGTTCAGGGTGATGAACCGTGCTGCTTTTACACAAAAATGTATGTGTTGCATTGTTCAAAAAAAGTTCAATTTTGGTTTCATCTGACTGGAGCACCTTCTTCCCCATGTTTGCTGTTTCTCCCAGGTTGGTATGGATATCTTTAGGAAATGGCTTTTTTCCATAAAGGCCAGTTTTGTGCAGTATATGACTAATTGTTGTCATATGGAAAGAATCTCCCACAGATGTAGATCTCTGCAGTTCATTCAGAGTGATCATTGGCCTCTTGGCTGCATATCTGATCAGTCTTCTCCTTGTTTTGCTGAAAGTTTAGAGGGATGACCGGGTCTTCGTAAATTTACAGTGGTCTGATACTCCTTCCATTTCAATATTATCACTGACACAGTGCACCTTGGGATGTTTAAAGCTTGCGAAATCTTTTTGCATCAAAATCTGGCTTTAGACTTCTCCAGAACAGTATCTTTGACCTGCCTGGTGTGTTCCTTGTTCTTCACGATGCTCTCTGTTCTTTAAACAGACTTCACAGACTATCAAAGAACAGGTGCATTTATAAGGAGACTTGATTATACACAGGTGGGTTCTATTTATCATCATTTAGGTTAACATGGGATGATTCAGAGATCCTCACTGAACTTCTGCAGATTTTTCTGCACTGAAAGTAAAGAGGCTGATAAATTTTTCATGACCCAACTTCAAACTTTTTGTTACAAAAGTTTAAAATATTAAATAAATTCCTTTCTGCATAATGATTGCGTCCCATAAAAAAATTATATATTTAAGTTGGAAGCCTTAAATGTGAAAAAAGGTTGAAAAGTTCAAGGGGGCCCAATACTTACGCAAGGCACTGTACTGAGAATCACCTAAAGCTAAAAACCTTTGAGAGAGTGTAAAGGTACTTATTTTATGTAGATTTAGAGGCTTTTTATTTTCAGTTTTGTGTTGTGACGGAGAATGTATAATTTAAGGTCTGGGAGATCCACCTCTAGCTGACAGCAATTGCTAAGCAGCAGACAACATGTCAGGTATGATTTCGATACTACATTTACAACTAAGTCCAAAGAGACGCATGCTTCTTGCATTTGGGTCGGACAGAAGCTGTTATGCCTGAAAAACTACAAAAAAAGATTTCTGCGGTCTCAGTCTGGTTCTTCAGTCAGCCCAGCGTTTGCAGGTCTTTATTCACACATGTAGAACAGGTCCGGACCAAAGGAGATAAATGAATTCTGGACCATTTAGAGTGAACCAAACATGACAGGTGTGAACACATCCTAAAACGTACTACATCTAAGTTTTGAATATCCATTGAGCTCCAGAAAGCAGAGAAAGGCTGAAATTAGTTCATGCTAAGCTCATCAGATCTAAGAGGGGAGAGAGAAATAAATCACTTTTAACTTAAGGTCCAAAATGATCCAACACTTTTTCTTCTAACAGAAAATCCTGAGACTGATTGAAGAGCTAAAATTTGGAGAGTAAAATCCACTTTGAGACAACTCCAAACCTACTGTCCAGAATGTGCTAATGTAATAACCCTGCATAACCCAATTGTAATTGTGATGTCCTAGAACTGATGATGACTCAGCAGAACAGCAGAGGGGACGATTTCAATACCCTCTTAAGGAACATGACTGGACTCTCCTTGAGCTTACTGTAAACACACAGCGTCTGTAAAGCTGGTGAACATAAAGGTTAAACCAACTAAAAAAAAAAAAAACAACAACATATGAGGCAAGTCAAAACAAACAGCAGCGGTCAACAAAGAACAGCCTAATTTGACAAATCTATTTCCAGGCTATACCCTCCTTCTGGGTAGATGATTACATCGTATAACTTTCATTAAATTATTAAACAGATTAAACATCTGAGAAAAATCTGAATAAAAAAGGGGTTATGTAAAGGCATGCTTCTGTGAAGAGCAAGGAACACAGCAGCCTCCCAAATAAAACTGTTTGATCCATCATCTGAAAATAAAAACAGAAAATGGACAACCTTAGGGCAAGATGTTTTGGATAAAATGGAGAAGCTGCAGAAATTCACAGATCTGATGAAAGAATCCTCTGACTATTAACTATTATTGTGGACTCAACCAGCATGACGGCAGCAGCATCATGCTGTGGGTATACCTCCGTTGTATAGGGACAGAGAAGCTGCTCATAGTGAATTGGAAGATGGAGGGAGCTAAAAACAGGGAAAGCCTAAAAAAAAACATTAGAAGCTGAAAAAGACATGGGTTTGGGTTGGAAGTTACCCTTTACCAACAGCCAAAGCTACAAGGATGCTCTTCAAAATAAAAGTTTAGTAGCTGTAGCTTAAAAAAGATGTAAATATGAATAAATGTATTTCAAAGTTGCTGTAGTATCACTTTACACCGAAACTCGAATAAAACTTTTGCTCTCTCAGCAAAGTTTACATCTAAAAAAGGTTAATAAACAAAAGCCAGATGGAGTGTTTACAAAAACCGTTTTAACCCCTTGATTCCCAATTCATTGTCCAAAATGGATGCATAGCTTCATTGGCAGAGCTGGGAAGTATTATGATGAAGGAAAAGCAACCAAAGAGTCAGAAAATGATCAGAGTCGACCTCCTGTATTCAACAACCGGAATTAAGTCTCTTGTCTCGGATGTCCGTTGTATCAACTGCTTACATAAAGGCAAACATTATTAAACCATAAGCCAGTTAATAATTCAAAGCCAGCATACGGATGCATATTTTAACCAGTTAATTCCCATAGATTAGTTTCTACATCCAATCTGATAACTTAGCGATCTGACCAACAGTTGGATTAAAACCCCTTTATTGGGTTTTGTTTGTAATAATTAAGGTACACAATACAAAGGAGTATATTAAATACTTTAAACAATTGCAATGTCCCGCCGAAGGCAGAGGTCTGGGGAAGGTCCTGCTGAATTATTTAGTGTCATTCTACTCTTATAACACATTCAGCCTCACATTATTTTAAAAGAAAAGTTCAAATTCCACCTTGTATTTTACATGTTTTGTCTATTAACATATTATTCTAAATGAATATCAGAACCAAAACCTACTCTGCTTTAAGAGCTGATTATTTTGGCTTTGAAGGAGTTTTAAAAGGTTGAATGATGTCATCCCTGCTAGTGACTGGGAAGCAGTCTGACTCAGAGACGGGTGACAGTCAGGAAGTCTTCTGGGGCTCCTGTTTTTTTTTTTTTTTTATTAACTAAAACAATAAGAACAGGTCTTTGAAGTAAAATGTATGCCGGTCATATACAGACACAGGAGTTGAGTCACAACAAAAGGCAACAACGTTGAAGCCGGAGGGGCGTCTGAGCCGAAACAAAGAGGCGACAACTTGTGATGGAGCTGAAATGGATTAGGAGCGCCTTTCTATAGCGGGAGATGACACAGTGAAAGAAACTCCAAGCACCTTCAGTGCAAACACTCACCCGGCTATATGTGCTTCTTCTAGTCTGTGACATGATTCCTGGCTGCAGAGAGTCCCCAAAAAACGCCTGTGTCAACTGAAGGAGCGTGTTATTGAAATAAGGAGAGCATCGGCTAGACAGAAGGTGGTAGGGGGGTACAAGTAGAAGGGAGAGGAGGGGGATTCAGAGATGCTGATGGAGCATCTCTCTCTTTTTTTCTCTCTCTTCTCACATCCCAACAGCCAAACTCAAGTCTCCCAAATCTCCCCCCGTTGCTTCTTTCCTCTTAAAAAAAAAACAAAAGACAGTCAGCAGGAGCTTATGGTTTGAGCAGGAAGTTTCCGTGGCAGCAGAGGGAACCGATCCAACCACCTCCCTTTAAAGAATGGATTTAACGACAAAAGAAAAACATAAAAACAGCCGGGCTTGGTTCAGCTATGAGTGCATCAGCTGAGCGGCTGCACTGCACTGTGTCAGTGTCTGTGCTGGCTTCTGCAGGAAGGAGGGGGATACAGGCCGCGGCAGAGAAGCTGGGTCCTAAAGCCTGCAGGCACCTCTCAGCTTATAACCACAAACCTCAAGGTTTTCCAATAAGGTGGAAAGAAAGGGAGAGGTTTCTATCTAAAAACAAATCTCTGAAATGTGCACTGATGTTCAGCACCCTTCAGTCTGACACCCCTAAATAAAGTCAAAACAACAGTTTCAAAGAAACTAAATTGAAATGAGCTACGGTTTGCACAGTCATTTTTGCTGCATTGTTTAGTGAATAAGCTGCTTTCTTTCTTCTATTCAACCTTATTTTTACCTGAATATAATAACATACCTGAATATATCGTATTATCTATTGCTATTTGCAGAGTATTTTTATACTTCTTGATCATTTTTTTTCTCTTCTGCTTCACAGCTCGACTTTAATCGACTTTTTATTCATTGCATCTAATCCAGAGCGTAAGTCTGGTGAAATTTGTCTAAAGATACGTTTTTTTTAAGGCGAATCCTGATTGGTTCTAACCGATCCATGATAGGTGCTACTGAATTTCTTTCTTGGGGGGCATTCTTGAAGCAAATATTGTTTTTCTCTTTATCCATTCATATGACAAATGATACAATTATAAGAAATTTATTACAAAATCTTTTCTTTTTTTTTTCACCATCATACCACAATCTCCCCACTGTGAAAGGGGCTTCTATTCTATCCTATTATTAATGTTATGCATCCCTTCACTTCTCCACTAAGACAGACAAAACATGTCAGACTAATTCTTTTTCAAGTTCTTTTTTGGTTCTTCTACTGATTTTCTGTTAAACCTCTCTTCCTGATTCTGTTACCCTGGCCTGGACAGCATTTCAACTTATAAACCCAGTGATCTGGATCCAGGGTCCATGATTGGGTGATCAGCTCCAGAACCAGAGTTCTGGCATGGTCAAGCTATTCCAAACGTTTGGGGTGAAAACAGCCAGAAGGAAACATAAGGACTGGACAGGTTGTAGCTTCCAACCTTCTCCTTGCAGCAGATGATCGAGTGTCCAGACATTAACAGGAGCACCTCTTCGGCCTATGCTGTAGGATCAGCATCTATCCTCCCATAAACAAGAACTATAGCTTCACAGCATCATGCAGCCAGCACCGTGTCTCCCATTTAGCATAGCAAATTGGGGCCTTCCAATACATGACGCGTTTTGCATGCATCCTATGAAGGACCAACTTTTAATAGAGCACAAAAAATACGTACAGTGGAACAAATAAAAAACATCAGAGGATGTAAAATAAAAAGGAAACAAACACAGGGTGAGAATACATTTGCTCATCAATAAATACCTTTCCAGTGCTTCTAAAACACACTTTAAAGGCTGCTTTTTTGCTTAAAAATCATGGAGTTTTAGACGAAAAAACACTTTAAAAAATAATATTGAACAAAAGGCTGATTAAGACCTGGAAGCAGATTAATAAGGCATTCCTTATTAGCACTAGTTAAATTTAGGGCTGCAACTATTTATTATTATGCTAATCAATTACTCTGATGATTATAGTTTTGATTATTAATCTGATAGTAAAAGTTTCCTTGAAGATTTTTTAAAGAGTTAAACCAGGTTTAACTAAAACGTTTCAACCTGAAGAGTGCTAAATAGGACATACTGACTACTGACAGACAAAAAAGGTTTTTAAAATTTTAATTACTGCTCTAAGTGGGTTACCCTGTTGCTCTAGTTATGTTGTGAATATGCAATAAAACAAACTGATTAGGAGTCATTTAAATCAGGGGAAAGTGCACCATATCCATTTCCTGACCCCCTGCACTGCAGTCTCCTGCAAACCACAGTTTAAATTCACTTTTCATCCTTTGCTAGTGTTAGCGGCTGTGGAAAAATAACTAAAAAACATCCTTCATAAATTAAACATTTACAAACCCTGGTATTAACTAATTCCTAGCTTGAGCGCAGCAAACCAGTTAAACTGGATGTGTTTTTTGTTCCATTGTGGTTGAAGTCCAGCCGCCCAGGTGCTGCAATGTATTGTTGCAGGGTTGTTGCCCTGTAGCCTGCCACAGACCAAGGATTAACTCTTTTACAAGCAAACTGAAAGGCTGCAGCATTTTCCAACTCTCTTCCCTCTGTTTGCTTTGTTCTTGTCTTTTTTTGCAGTCGAAGCAAAAGCTGTAAACCGCTCGCTTGCCTTTGAGAACCATTGAAAATTAGGCGTACAGACTAAAAGAGGCTCAACGTTGGATTTGATGTTAAGTAGAGAAAACAGCCCGGCATGCAAAATGCTGTCAAAAGTTTGCAGTGGGTGAAATGGATGCAGAGTTTTTAGGGCGTTTAGGGACAGGAAACAAACCTCTGCAGTCTCTTTGCATCCTTTTATGTAAATTACGAAGAAAGGCAGAACCAAAACAAGGGGGGGTGCTTTAATCCTGCAGGAAGAGGGGAGGCGGAAGCATCCTCACCTCTTTCACAAAGGGAGGACCAGCAGATCACTTAAATCAAAGAGATGAAAGCCAGGAAAAGGCAACCTTCCCCAGCACAGTCAAACATAACGTCTCCCTGCTGCAAAGCCTGATGAGAGCAGCTGAAACGGTGAGACAGCAGGAACAGAGGTGACTTTAAGGAGAAACATTATGACCACAATGTGCCTCCATCAACCTGCTGAGGAACACGTCAGCCTCAGCAGTCAAGGTAAGGATGAAGAAAACTATGATGAGGTGTCTCATTTGAGACGGCAGTGCAGAAAAACCAAACAGCAGCAGTAACTTTAATGAGACTGATGAAAGTGTCTTACTCATACGTTTTATCCGGATACAATAATAATTTAGAATGGTCTGGATACTAAAGACAAGTGTTACTTGCAGATTTTTACTCTTCCTAATTTAGATTCCTGGATTATTTGTAAAAATATTTTCTCATTTTGGGATATTATTTTGCATTTACTTGCAAACTTATTTAACTAGTATTTGTAATTCTGCTGTGAAACCATTTTTGTGTTAAAATTGGAAAAAAGATTTTTCAGTTTTTATGAAATTATTTTTATGTCATTTGCAATCTCAATGGTGTCAAATATTTTCCTAGAAATCAACATTGATTTTGAAAATGTTGTATTATGACGACTGTACGGCAGATGTTTTTTTCTTGTTCTTTGTAAAATACTTGATCTTGCGACCCTGGGCTTTGACTAGGCCATTGAGACATTGATTTTAATTGATTTAAGGTCTGGACGCAATACTTGTTGGCCCTTGTAATCTGTATTAGAAACGTATGGTTTTTCATGCTCATAGTTTGTTCAATCTGTTGGATGGCGTTTTAACGGTAATGGAAGTGCACAGACCATTGATCAAAATGACGAAAATAGTAGAGAGAGAAATATGGATTTATATTAACTGATATAAATATTGTAATGCTTTTAAACTAATTTCTAGCATTTAACTGTAGCTTAGGCCAAATGTCATCAGCCTTCTGGCAGCTTTTAATCGATGGTCGACTCCTGTTTAGCTCAATCCATCTTATGGCTCTGCCTGACCAGCCTCTGTCCAACCCCTCAGCATGATACTGCAACCACTATGTTTTGCATATAGTTCAGTTATTAGTCTCACCCAATCCACCTCCTTCCTCTTGATTTGCTCTGTTCCATCATGCTTGCTGTAAAACTTGACAAGGGACAAAATATTGTGTTTTGTCCTCATAAAGAACATAATTAATGTTTGTTCTGTTGACAGATGATGTAACAGGTATAGCTGGAGGTGTATGAATCTTAGCTAAGTACTCTACAGTCCTGTCAAAATGTCTGTTTTGATTTATTTTTAGGACAATTCAACATCCTAGTATTTGTGATGATGGACGATCATTTTTGTTTGCTTTATATAATTTGGTATTTTCAATCAATCAAAATGCTATTTTTCCCCCTTTTTGTCATTTGCATGGAAAGTAACTGAAATCTTGTTCCTCTCCATGATTAAATAAAAGATAATTTCTGCAAAAACACCTCTACTTCTCAAATATAAATAGTTCTTTATTAAAAAACAGAGAAAGGAGGTAATCTGTTAGAGACATACAGGGTCTGTGCTGTACTAAAACTTCTCTTTAATTGTGTGGCTTAACTAAAACTGTAACTTAATGCCATCTAGTGTGTTTCTCCTGAACACTGACAACATTATACTTAATGTTTAAATGCCTTAATAAAGATGAACTACAGTGCTACAAAATAAACAGAAGAAAAAACATATTAAGGTGAAATAAAATCAGCTATTTCTGATTAAATAAACGTATGCATCTAGCAGCCAAGTGACAATCGGGTTAAAGTGATAAATTAAATTAATCGGCAATTACGCTGTTCTGAGATGAAATTAATAGGATCCCCACAGTCCCCCGTTGTGGTCGCTTCATAACCATAAACTAATGCTAATTAAAATAAAGTGCTTTAGCCTTTTTTAACGTATAATTATAATAAGAATACGAAACTGAAAGAATATGAAACTGAACTAAAAATTGGCATTAAAGCGACTGATTTAAACAACGTTCATCGCGGCTGCTAGCTGTCAGTTAGACCCTCCCTGCAGCTGCTAGCACCTGTTAGCCTGTTAGCCTGCACTGGCTGCTTCAGGAGCAATAAAAAACGATTTAAATCCAAGAAAACATTTATTGTAAAAACATTTATCCGTGACAGTCGAGTTTATACATTTGACCCCTAAATGTTAAGTCTCAGAGGAGCAGTTGTTAGTTAAATCTTACCCGCTTGTGTTAAAAAATCCGGTTTGGTTTGAGCTGCCCGGAGAGCTGCTTCCATCAGAGCGGATAGAACCCGGCTGCAGTGTCCGAGTTGCTGCCTGACTGAGGCGGCCTCACAGCTCCGAGGAGCCCGGGGACATTTTCAATACATAGAGACTAATGAACAAAGTAAAAACAAGACAAAACAAGAAAGAACAGCACATAATGTTTATTAATTATACAATAATTT